AGCTCTTTGACACTACACAGCCATCAGTATAACTCCCCATGGACAGAGTCAATCGTCATCTTTTCTCCTTGCTCATCACAGCCACCACGATCATCAAACCGGCACACGCAAGCACCCAGCATCATAATATCACCCACTACTGTCACAACCAGGAGGAAGCTTGTTGGCAGTCATGTCAGGCCTCGATAACTGCACAATGAGAAATCAGCCGCCCTTCCGTTTGGTGGCAGAGTTGAAACTATATGCCTATCCCAGATCTTCCAAAATCCATTGATTAAGGAATATACCTTAAATCATAGTAGGATCCCCAATATGATTTAGGGGATATTCCTTAATTAATTACGGAAATTTGGAAGTTCTGGGATAGGCCCAAGTTCACAGTGCATTCCGTGCCAGCAGAAAGCACGTCTGCTGGGAAGCACCTCGGCACCGTCCACGTTGAGGCAGTCTCGGAACAGCGACACCTGAATTCTTGATGGACCGTAAGTCGTATACGATGGATGCTCACGATAGAACTAAAAAATGAAATGGTCGCACTCAACCACCTCCCCTGCCAACGACCCGGTTCCACCTGACCTTCTTGCCACATATAGTCCAACCAACCCTTTCCAACACTGCCCACAAGACTGAACGTCCTGGAACCATGAACTCAATCCCTAAATAAACCCCCAACTTACGCTACAATATAAGGGCCTGAATGCATGGTGTAGGTATGACTATAGACTGCATTTACTACGGACTAGAAGGAGATGGTATTATGCACTAACGACTCAGACCCCTAAATTCTTAACCTTCTTGTAGCCTGTCTTAGTCTTTGGCGCAGTGTCCTAGTATAGAAGACTACATAATTACCAATAGTATTCCTTTCGGTTCGCTTTTATACTTCAGTACTACAAAGGAGCCGCAAAGCCATACTCTCATAACGGCCCATACCAAGACCCCCTTAACAACCCTCATTGCCATGAAAACTTTAGAACACAGTTAAAGGACCTTTTTCAGAAAGCCTATTCTCAGCAGTAAGGCCTCTACCCAAAATCCCCTCAACTCGATTCCCGACGCAGAACTGTAGGGTTTCGCGCTTTGAGAGGTTTTACAAGGGTTTCAAGGCGTACGGGTTTTATGGGTTTAGGAGCTACGTCAGGGCTTTAGGGTCCCTAAACACTAAACCTCTCGTAGGGCTTCTTTAGGGCCTTCTGACACAGACCACGGTCTACGTGGTCAGGCTCCTATGGCGGCGCTGACAAGGCTCTGTTGAACCCGATCTTTGAGTTCCATATATGGGTCTTAATCATTAGAGTGGGGTTTTGGGGTAGATTATACTTCTAACTATAGCAAGAAATCCCAAAAAAAGTATTGGTACATGTTTAAGCCCCTATAGCAGGGTGCTTGGTTCAACGGGTCGAACGAAGCAGGCGTGCCTCAAAAACTCGTACTGTCGAAATATTCTTCCTGCTGCGGATGGACAGAATCCTGCACCTACTTTTAAGCAGAGTAATGTGCGGGCGGGACAAGGGTGAGAGGCCTCGTGAGAGATTGAATTGGTGCTGTAGTGGCGCAAAGCTTCTAAGCCCGAACTCCCAAACCACCTAAAGCTCAGAATTCGTACAGATGACACCAATCCTATATATTGCCGATGAAATGAACCGCAACAAAGTCCCTATGAGGCCCTAATTTGTTAACGACTTTGTAGAATCCTGCAAAAGCCCTGAGTACGCTAATGCAAAGCTCACGCCCTAAATCTCAAACATGCGGCGAACGGACAACAAAATCCCACAACACCCATGACAAGGAATGTACCACTATTCCCATAAATTTAGCTCCACAAAGCAATGCAGGAACCCGAAACTCTGCACATCTCCAATCCCTAACCCCTAAACCCTAAAACTGTCACGCCCATCCCCCGAGATTCACACTTCGACTCGGTCTCGCCAAGGGCAGATCTCACCCCAACCTGCTCCTGTCAGGGCTTAAGGTTTGGGATTCAGGGTGTGGGATCTAGGGTTTAGTTAGGATAATTTCGGGTTTAGGGTTTCGGATTTAAGGTGTCACAGGTTTCGGGCATAGGGTTTAGGGATTCTCCTACCGCTGTCTGGGCTAAGACAACACCGTTGTCCAGGGTTTTTTGACCCTGTCAGTGGTATGGGCCACACTGCACGTACTGTAAATCCCGCAATTCGGAGCCATGCCGAAAGGCCTGCATGCGAGTGGTACTGAAACTTGAAATTGGTGCCGATTTGTACCAACCACGGCATGGATCGTTTCAAAAACACGGCTCCTTCTGAACTATGTATACAATAATACTGCAACGAGTGTATCATAGTGGCAACCATGATGCCAAGCAAAACACCATGCACGAGAAGGATCGCTTTCTTTCTGACTGGACAGGCGTAGGGCAGGGCAGGGCAGGGCAGGGGCCCCTAAACCCTAAACCCTAAAACCCTAAACCGCCTAAACCCATCCAAAACCCTTCGCTTGTAGAGGGTCTGCCGTGAATGAACTCAGGCACGCTGAAAGCAGGATAACTGCAAGTAGCCCGCGCCGAGGGTATGGGTTTCCGGGTCTAGGTTTTAAAGCTTTAAAAGCCTAGGGTTGAGGGAGTTTGGCAGCTTTGAACTTCACCGTCTAGCTTTTCGGGTTTTGGGGTCTCGGTCTAGGTTTCGGGGTTTAGGTGAAGCCTAATTATTGTAAACGCAACAGTAAATAGTAGGACGCTGGGACGGGACTCGCAGCATCTACTGCACATAAACTAGGACTATGGGACACGAGGAGCCTCTTTTCGAGGCGCGCCGCAAGGTGACAGCATGAGTCAGTTTTGCTTACCCTGAACGCAAGGACCCCGTAATGTTAGCAAACTACTCGGGAATGAATTCATACATCCAAGCATGCATCACACATACGTGCATACATGCATGTTGACATGTATGTCCTTTTTACCACTACATGCGTACGTGCGTACATGCATACAGGCATGCATGCATGCATACATGCATACAGACAGACCGACCGACCGACCGACATGCATATGTATTATGGGGCTTTGTAGATGCAGAGGCAAATGTGTCGTATACGTTCAACGGTATATTATAGTATGTGTAATCTTCATGTGAGTGTGTACATACACGGGCGAGGCAGGCAATCAGACGCCTAAAACCTAAAAAAAAGCCAAACTAGTCTGCGAAGCCCGTAAAAACCTGAACCCCCTGGAGGCCCTTGCGCCAGAAGCACCAAATCCCAGCCAGAAACCCTAAACCCAAACCAAACCCCTTCCCTAAACCTTAACTCCCAAATCCTAATCCCTTCTGAACCCGAAGCCCTGAATCCTAATCCCTAAACCCTAAATCTCAGGAACCCTCATCCTATCCCTAACACCGAAACCCTAAAACCTAAGTCAAGCCCCAACTTCGCTCTCCTGGCAAACCTGGGTGCGCTTGAACTTGTGGAGGCGGAGGCGGCTCGTGGAGAACCTTTTCCAGAGCTACTTAGAGGATCATGGGTCTTAGTAAGTAGGTTATAATTGGGGTTATAAGTCCCCTAAGTGGGGTTATCCTAATTATAACCTACTTATAACCTTATACTTACTAAGTCCCATGAGCCTTCAAGTACCCGGAGCCCCCAAGGCACCCTTGCGGGAACTTTAAAGGGAACTCCCAAGGGAGCCCTTACGGGTGCAGGGTTTTGCGGTTTAGGGTTTAGGCTTCAGGCTGCAGGATTAGGTTTTAGGGTTTCAAGCTCAGGGATTAGGATCTAGGTTAATTATAGGCTTCAAGGTGTAGGGACTGGAGGGACTGCAGGGTTCAGGGATAAGGATTCAAACTTTAGGGATTGGATTGACGGATTGAATAGGCAAGAAGACGCTTTGATTCATGGGGGCTCGAAACACGCACTGCTTCTAGTGCCTGGGCCTGGGGTCAGTTAACGTTGTTTAGATCCATATAGAGTCTGTGGGAAACTGTGATCTGCCAGCGTCGACCCCAGTCCAAGATCACAGAGAGGACGATGGTAAGATCCGGTTCCTTATGTAGTTCTTGCGGTGTATATCGATCATGGTAGAACTATAGTAAGGAACCGTAAAGGGTCATTGTTCATGCTTTTCTACTTCGCCTGACGGTTCATGTGCAAAGACACTCAACTTCCAGGAACGTCTAAGCTTAATGTAAGAGCCTGAATAATTACTCAATACTATTTTGGAGGCTCCTCATTCTAACTACAGTATATTGGGTGACCCCATTCTTATGCCAAGTATGAAGGCCCCATACAAAATCGTCAACATAGGCGTTATTATAGTCCTTAGAGACCCCCTTTAAAGGAACCCTATTCTAACTATGCCCCTCTATTAAATAGAATCCTACTATGGGTGCCTTATAGAGCCCCTTAAAGGACCCCTTCTTAAAGGAAGCCTGTTCGAATTATGAAGGCCCCTGTATTGTCGAACCCTACTGTAGATCTCTTATACCCTTTAAAGGAACACGTGAAGGAACCCTAGTCTAGTTATGGAGGGTTCTATCAAGATGAGGGTTCAGGCAGCAGGGGGTGGGGATCTCCAGGAATGGGCTCGAGGGTTTGGGCCTCGTGATGTCGACCTTGTGTTGCTCAGCGCCACCAATGCCACATACTACAACCCAAACCCAGTCCTAAGCCCTTATGGGGACTGTAAGGTTCTGTTAATAGGGTCCCTTTAAGGGCACTATAGAGGTCTATAATAGGGAACCTTTCAAAGGCACCCTTAAAGTAACCTTAACCCTTAAACCCTGGAACCCTACCCTCTCCACTCCTATATAGTCTTCAACCATGAAGCCTAAACCCTGGCGCGCCCGTCCTGGTATAAGGGGTTTAGTAATCTATATTGGGGTTCCCTAATACTTGAAGACATCGTTGGAATGCTGTGGAAGCCCCCTTTTGGGACTAGCCGGCCTCAACTGCAATGACCGACTGCCGTCTCCCTTTGTAGGCAAAAGGTGTGCAAACTTCTGTTGTCCACTGTGAGCTATGGTGAGGATCCATCATGAATGACGGTCTTGTCTAGACTCCACCAAAAGCCGTGCAACCGCCACCAGCCCATTCTCAGCTGCAACGAACACAGGCGTGGTGCCATCGGGCAAGGCTTTGTCCTTGTCCGCTTTGGCCTCCAACAAAAGGCGTACAACCTTCAACTGCCCAGTCTGAACTGCAATGAACAGAGGCGTGCTGCCATCATGCATGGCCCTGTCCTTGTCCGCTTTGGCCTCCAGCAAAAGGCGCGCAACCTCCCGCTGCCCCTTCTCGATTGCCGCATGCAGCGGCGTGGCACCATTCTCATTGGCCTTGTCCTTGTCCGCTTTGGCCTCCAGCAGAAGGCATGCAACCTCAAACTGCCTATATTGAGCTGCAACAAACAACGGGGTGGCGCCGTTCTTTGTGGCCTTGTCCTGGTCGGCTTTGGCCTCCAGCAGAAAACGTGCAACTTCTAACTGCCCACTCCGAGCTGCAATGCAGAGAGGTGTTGTGCGATCATGCATGGCGCTGTCCTTGTCCGCTTTGGCTGCCAGCAAAAGACGAACAACCTCCCACTGTGGCTGTCCCTTCTCAACTGCAATGTGCAACGGCGTGGCACCATTCTCATTGGCCTTGTCCTTGTCCGCTTTGGCCTCCAACAGAAGGCATGCAACCTCAAACTGCCTATATTGAGCTGCAGCAAACAAAGGGGTGCTGCCATTCTGTTTGCCCTTGTCCTTGTCCGCTTTGGCCTCCAACAAAAGGCGTGCAACCTGCAAGTGCCCATTCTGAGATGCAACGAACAGAGGGGTAAAGCCAAGCATGGCGTCGTCCTTGTCCGCTTTAGCCTCCAGCAAAATGCGTGCAACCTTATGCTGGCCATGCTGAGCCGCAACAAGCAAAGGGGTGGCGCCGTTCAATTTGGCCTTGTCCTTGTCCGCTTTGGCTTCCAACAAAGTGTGTGCTACCTCAAGCTGCCCCTTCTCAGCTGCAATGTACAGTGGTGTGACACCTTTCTTTGTGGCCTTGTCCTTGTCCGCATTGGCCTCCAGCAAAAGGCGTGCCACCTCCAACTGCCCATTCTGAGCTGCAATGAACAAAGGCGTGGTACCATCGTGCATGGACTTGTCCTTGTCCGCTTTGGCCTCCAGCAACAGGCGTGCAACCTCATGCTGACCTTGCTGAGCCGCAGAAAACAAAGGGGTGGCGCCCTGACAGTTGGCCTCGTTCTGGTCCGCTTTGGCTTCCAGCAAAACATGTGCAACCTCCAGATGCCTTGTCTCAACTGCAATGTAAAGAGGGGAGGTGCCATACTTGGTCTTGTCCTTGTCCGCTTTGGCCTCCAGCAATACGCGTGCAACCTCATGCTGGCCACGCAGAGCTGCAATGAACAGAGGCGTGGTGCCACCGTGCGTGGCTCTGTCCTTGTCCGCTTTGGCATCCAACAAAAGGCGTACAACCTTCAACTGCCCTTTCTCGGCTGCAATATACAACGGTGTGGCACCCTGGTTTTGGGCCTTGTCCTTGTCAGCATTGGCCTCCAACAGAAGGCGTACAAACTCCAAACGCCCATTCTGAGCTGCAAAGAACAGAGGGGTGAAGCCGCACACGGCCTTGTCCGTGTCCGCTTTGGCCTCCAGCAAAAGACGTGCAACCGCCACCTGCCCCGTCTGAGCTGCAACGTACAAAGGTGTGTGGCCACCATACTGGCCGTAGTCATGCTCGAACAGCGGGGCCGGACTGTCTGGGTCTTGCGGCCTCTGTAGAATAGTCTCCACTTCCGATGTCAGGCCGTGTCTTGCAGCATCCAGAAGCGCTTCCACTTGCGCTTCAGATGCTGGGCAGAAGCTAAGAATCACGACCTGAACCTCGCCGGGTCTCAAGGTGCGTTCGTCATCTGGAACCATATGATCATCCGGAAACACCAGCCTTTGCCTGAACCTTGACAGCCCAAGCGTGCTGCGCAAGTGCTGCTTCAGTGCGCGGACAGGACTTGTCTCTGCAGGGAGCGTCCCCAGAAAGCTCACCAAATCAATCTCAATGAGGTCTTCCCCCGACACCGCCCGAATCCGCAGCATGTCTACCACCACGCGGAAGAGACTTGAAAACCTACGTGGTGCGATAGGGGCCTTCAACAAATGGGCAAATGATAATAATAAGAATATGAATAATGATACGAGTGGTAAATAATCAACATATCTTATTGTCATTAGTGCTGCTCTTATCATCATTATTGCTAGCAATAATATTATTACTATGAGTATTTTTATTAGTAGTAGTAGTGGTGGTAGTGGTGGTAGTAGTCGTAGTAGTAGTAGTAGTAGTAGTAGTAGCAGCAGTAGCAGTAGCATCACTATGACTACGTATGATTATGGTTCTTCCAGTTTCGGCAGGGTGTTTTGCTCCCGACAAGAATTAAGCTTTCGAGTTGGGATGTGACTTGGGACCTCGGGCCGTCAGAAACCTCAGCTGCCAGGACCCTCCTTGTACCCTCAAATAGGGTTACCGAAAGGACCCTAAACAATGGGAATTATTGTATATTCCTTATTGTGGGTCATGCGGGATTTATATCTTCAACCGTAGGGTATATGGTCTCAAATTGGAGGTGTATTTAAAGTCTAATAGAGGGGACATGGGAGTCTAGGTGGTTTAGGTAAGTCCCGGAACAGAGTTTAGGGGCTTATGGTCTAGGGGTTTGAGGGTTTGGGCGTTTAGGGGTTTGAGGGTTTGGGGTTTCGGGGTTTAGGGTTGAGCTTCAGGATCTACCAAATGCACAATGTACTGGCTTGAACCACTAATGCAGCTGAACGTGCGATCGTCTGGATGTTGCACCCATGAACTGAAGCTGAAAGCCTACATGACCCCAATCTCTAAGGCCTTACGCCCTACAGTAAGCCAAAGACAAATTGGAAACCGGATGAAGGCTAAATAGTGTTGGGATTCCCTGTGCACTGCTCTTGCGGATTGAGGCTATTGGGCTTCCAACTTTTGGGCTTCTACTGTACACCCGAAGGGCCCAACGAAGCCTCGAAAGAGAACACGCCAACACAGCCATGACACCTCAAGTGAGCCTGGAGCCCCAAAACCCTACATAGTAGGATCCTTACTATAGGGACCCCAAAATAAGGTACCCCTAATTTTCGGAAACTCTAAACCCTATATAAACTCTAAACCAAAACCACTATGCCCAACAGAGATAGATCCTACTGCCTACATGTAAAACAAACACATTCGGTCGACCAGGTGTGAAATTAAGATTCAATGCGCTTTGCCCCGAAACCTAAGCTGAAATCCGCGATCCTGTAATTCCACAAGTCAAGATAGTAACGATAACTACCATGAACATAATCGTGGTCATAATTCGATCATAAGAACACTAATCAAAATAATCATCCTAATGGTTTTCACAACCTTCACAGTCTACAATGATGATGACAAGAACAATAGTAGTAGCAAAAAGGCAGGTCGAAATAATATTTGTAATAGTAGTTAGCAGCTTTTTCAATACAACTAGTAGGGATAAAAGTAGTCGTAATAAGAACAATAGTCGTAATAATAGTAGTAGTAACAATAGTAGTAGGGATAAAAGTAGTCGTGATAAAAACAATAGTATAGTAATGATACTACGAATATGACTGAGGCCACTCAGGTCAGCACCATAAGACCCCCTACAGTAATCCTTACAGACCCCCCTTTATAAGGAACCCTTACGTAAAGTTACTTAGGCCTTGCTTTACTACTACAGTAGAAAGTTGGAATATCATTATCGTAACCGCTTTAAGGTAAATTATAGGGGATCCTACCATTAATCCATATTCCAACTTTCTGGAGTTCCCTGTATCTAGGTGAGCACCTGGGCTGCTCGAAGGCGAGGAACCTTCTGAACCGGTGCCTTTGACACCGGCCGAGACCTGGCTTCCGCAGGTCTCGGGCTGCAGGGTTTATAGGTCTGAGGGTAAAAAGAGGGAAGTCTAAGGGTTTAGAGTTTAGGGTGTTTAGGGTTTAGGGGGTTTACGGTTCAAGGATCAGGGTTTAGGGATGAGGGTTTAGTTTAAGGTTTATGGAGCTGGGTTCCCGGCACCCGCCAAAGGTACTTTTCATAGAGCCCTTATGATAATTGACAGTGGGTAGTTGGGGCAGCATAGACGCTGCTTGGGGGGGTCTAGGTCGGGTTTAGAGTTTCGGGTCTGGTGGGGAGTCGGGTTTCAGGTGGGTTTCGGGTTTAAGGTTTTGCAGAGGGTTGGCTCCCTTCATAACCCCGAATAGCCTACCTTTTCAATAGGACTTCTACAAAGAAATCAAGATCGGGAACCCTAAAAAAGGTAGGTTCTTTAGGGTCCAGGTCAGGGTCGGGTCTTAGGCTTGCAGCTTGATGGGTTTGGAGGTTCAGAAGCGTCTTGAGGCTTCAGGGTTTCAGGGCCAGCGGAATTTGGGGCTTTAGCGCTTCAGGGGATTCGGATGTAGGGCTTCAGGGATTTAAGGATCTGGGTCTTGGACTTCGGAAATAGGTCGGGTGCGGCTCTGATTCTGAAGGCTGAGGAACAACTTCGGCTTACCCAGAGATCCCAATACTCCTTGACTTAGGAATAGACCTTCAACCTTCAACCATAAAACTAAGGCCCCTATAATTTAAGGTATATTCCCTATTAATTAAGGGATATTGGGGCTAGCAACATAATAATCACAGGCGGGTGTGACGGGTACACGGCTCGAAACAAATCAGTGCTGGAGATGATGACAGTGACGGCCAAGTGACGACATGATGAACATGATGGTGATGAGGCTGACGACACCTTAGACCCTGAATAACAATTACAAGCTTGAATCCTTACAAGCCCTAAACCCAAATGAAAACCATGCCAAGAAACCAAAATTAGGCCCTAAACCTGAAGCCCAAAGCCCTAAACACACAAACCAAAAACCCAGCTTCTGACCCAAGACATCGAGATCGAGAATCCTGAGAAGGGAATCCGGCAGATGCTTCCAAGCAAAAGACCTAGTTAGGTTCAGGGTTTAGGTTTAAGGGTTTAAGGCTTAGGGCTTAGGGCAACACGAACCTCCGCACCCTGAGCCCTAATTAGAAGGGCTTCTTCCGAACATGAAGGGGCCGTAGCCCTAAACCCGAAGTGCAAGGGCTTCCTTTTCTAGGAACCTGTAGGTAACCCTAAGGGTCCACGTACCCGATTAGCATGGAAGTTTAGGGTAAGGCATCCTCAGAGCATTGGATTTTCCGGAAGCCGGCCTCTGTGCCGGTGTGCTTGGATTTGCCTCCCTGCTTGGCGGCTGGCTGCTGTGACTCCTCCTTGAGGGTGGCGGGGATGCAAGAGCCTGAAGAAAGTCAGAACTTCTGCGAGCTTTTCAGACTTTTCAGCCCTGAGGTAGAGCTGAAGTTTAAGGACGGACTTGGGTTACGGGGAATGCGGATCGGGTTTGGATTTAGGTAGATTCTGAGGTCCGCGCTTCTGATTGCAAGAGATATCTTGGGTTGAGGTTGCGTGCCCTAAGGGTCCATGCACCCAAATACTATATACATTGGCCCCAAAGTTACTTTAAGGCCAGTGTATATACTAATTGGGTACGTGGACGCTTAGGGTTATGTAGGCGGGTCGTTGTGATGAGGATCTCTCTGAGGGAGTCAAGTTTCAGGCCTTTTGGGTTTAGGTTTAAGAGTTTAATACTATTTTTTTTTTTTTTGGGGGGGGGTTGGAGTTTAGGCTTTATGGTTCAGATGGCTCCTTTATTCTCTGGCCGTAGCATAATGTATCCTCATGATGAAGTTTAGGGGCTCTGGAAGTGCGCGGCCACCTCCAGTGCAAAGAGCTCAGGCCTTTCATGCGCACACTCCCGTCTCAGGGCTACACCAGGTCTTTTTCCTTCTGCAGCCTTCCCTGAACCATCCATTAGCATAGGGTTTTGAGGGCCACTGTACTATATTTATAATAAGGAGCCACCTAACTAGTATTCTTAATTCTTAAGGTCCCTACAATAAACTTTTGGCTCGAAGACTCCCCCGTCATAAAACACATCGAGAACACTCAAGGCTCAAGCTGCCTTCCTAAGGAAAGGCGAATAGAGCAGCCAGGCGATGAGGTTCGCAAGCTCCCGGGCTTTTAATGCAGGAACTGGCGATTGGTGTTCTCAACCTAAGGAAAGTCAAAACCGAAGCCAGAAAGCTGGAAGGTCTTAAAGCCGCTAAACTAGCGTAGTTGACGGGATTCCCTGCAATAATCATATCAACCCCATTGTCAAATCGGCAAGATGTGAAACAAAACCACGGGTAGCTGTTCTTTGCAGAGCCGCCCAGCTTGTCCCTGCATGCCGGGAGAATCGAGTACACCCCCTCAGAGATTCTGCAGTCTCTTGGAACGACTAATGATTTACAGGAGCTTTCTTTTGCAAGCATGGAAATCAACCCTAAACCCTAACCTCAAAAGCCGTAAACAACTCTGAACCTTCCAGAAACTCCTAAAGGAGCTCAAGCTGTGCCTTGCGAGGTCGTGGGACGGGCGCCGGTGCCTTCCTGAAAACATTGGGCTGGGAAACGAATTCAATGTGGGAGTTTGGGGGCTTGGAGTTTAGGGTTTGGGGAGTCTAGAGACTGGGGTTTAGGGATTTAAAGGTTTAGGGTTTTAGGGCCTGTTTGAGGATCCCAACTAACTGGGCCGGATCCCTTCTGAAAAAGCTTCCTCTGTCGGGGTCCCGTCTAGCCCTACTATGACAAAACTCTTTCTTCGGGACCCGTCTGTCGAATGTGTTCAACATGCGCTGGTGCGGCTGATGATTTAAATCCTGCAGTACCCATAATAAGGAACATGTCATACTTCCATAGCCTCGGGTCATTAAGGTAATGCAAGATTTATATCATCAACAGTATCAAGGGTTCGTGAGAGCCCCTGCCTTGGGTCGT